ATTAATGAACTTGTAACTGATGGAGATACGTGCCATAAGTGACACAGAGTGCTGAGGGGATATAATAGGACAGGGGATAGGTGGTCAGGGAGAAACTCCTCCGGACACAAAGGATATTTAAGCTGAATCAGAGGAGAAAGCATCTCAGGTTAGAAAACAGGAAGTGAAAAGATGCTGAGGCCAGAATCAGATGTGTGAAACCAGGAACCTGAAGCCCAGCGTGTGTTCATCAGCGCAGGAGATGGGGTAGGTGTGGAAGCAGAACACCAGCTCCCTGGATGCTTGAGTTTAGGTTAGCAAGATGCTCCCATTAATCAGATCTGGGTTTGGGGAAGTGTGAGTTAACCATACACTCCAGGACATGTAGCAAAATAAGGATAAGCATGGCCCTCTGTACTAGAATCAACTCTGACAACAAAATTGCAAACGCATTGCTGAGGTTTCTGCATTTACAACTCCATTTGGAGGAGGTATTGCTAGAACTTGTCTCCTGATATGGAATGGTTGTCTCTTCAGTAAACTGAAATGCCTCATGTGCCCATGTACAATGCAGTGTCTGGCTCTAGGATCCTATCTATTCCGTGAAGTTGATTAAGATACAGCCAGCCACCTTGGCTTTTATAACTGGGAAGGTATCCACGGTTTGGTTTCCATTCCTGTGCAGTTGCATTAAAATTCTTCATCTAACTATTTAAATTTTTAGCAGCTCTTGAGTGGATGGAAGGTATGCAGGCTTGAAATTTGTGAGTTCAAGAGAAACACTGATTTATTTCAGTAATTTAGATTTGGAATTAATTTCTATCTTCTTTGTTCCTTCTCTCTCGCTCGCTCTTGCCCTCACTCTCTCTGTCTCCCTCCCTCCCTCTCCCTCTCCCTCTCCTCAACTCTGTAGCTAAGGCACCCAAAATAAAATAAGCTTCAAACAAGCTTTGTGACTTATGAGATAACCCCATGGCATGGTACTGATAACATGGTTCAGTCTGTTTGCCAGACTGCTGTATAGTAGGTACATAACAGGATGTTTGTACCAGTCCAGCAAAGTCTGGACAACCAGAGCAGAGAAATAGTGTTTGTTTCTGCAGACTAGGAGAAACCAGGGATAGGAAACATTAACATGTTCAAAATAGAAAAATGAAATCATAGCATCAAAGAACTCAGGTCTGCTGTGAGCGGTGCTTCTGGTCTGACAGTTCAGCTAGTGGTACTAGAATGTTCGTGGCTGGGAGGTGGGCCCTGGAGGCCTGAGCAGCAGGATGACATGCTACAGCATGTGGAGCAGGCAGTTAGGACTGTCAGGGTGCCACCTTCCATCTTATCTCCCCTAGGGCACCCTGATGATACTGGGGAGAGAAAATATCATCTTGGTGGCAGGACAAAGTCCTTTCCCTCCTCACCCTGCAATTCTGAATGAGGGAAGAATGGCCACATAGCTCACTGTGGCCACGCCACGCGGTGTGTTCTCCAGGGACTTTGGACTCAGGTGAGTGACCCACCCAGAATAGAGAAGTGGTGGACACCACCATAAGGAATGAAGGCGCGGCATCCTGACTGAGCTTGTCTGAGGCCAAGTTTTTGCACTTTCTGCTGTCTGGTTCCTGGAGTTCTCCTGGTGCCTCTCCAAGCCAGACTTCGAGTGTCTCTCTGGTTCTGTGGGCCCTAATATCATTGCAATCACTTCCTTTTGCTTAGGCTAGTAGAATGTTTCTGTTTGCTATCAAAGGCCTAATTGAGATGGTACAATAAATGTTTCTAGAATGAATTAATTCATGGGAAGAAGTTGGGCCCATATCATATTATCTGTGACTTTTCTTTTCCTTTGTCATAATCAGAAAACTGAATCTCACGTATATAGATGGTTTTCTTGGAACCTTCTTTTTTGGAGGCAAAGCTGTTCTTTAAAAATCATTGAACCTAACTTTGAGATACATGTTTATTTTGTGTTATTTAGAAAAGTAAGATAATTATAGAAAAAAAATAAACATATCCATAAACATCATTCTATATGATAAATATTAATTGACAAACTGTGTTTAGTATCTGAGTGGTAACACACGGGAGAGATATTATCATTTATGTAGCTAATCCCCTATTGTTAGAGATTTGGGCTCTTTTCAATTATTCACTCTTATCCTGCAGTGAGCATTCTTTCATGCAAATCCTTGTATACACAGGTTTATTACCCTTAGGACACATTTCAAAAACTAGAATGACTGGGTCAAAGATTTGCATCTTTGTAATGCTTTTACTCACAAGAATAGCTCTTTTTTTTTTAAAAAAAAAGAAGCAAATATAAAAAAAGAATAGGTATTTAATTTTGGATATCTTCTTCAGTAAAAACAAAACTAAACAAACAAAAAAAAAAATGAAAAGACTTACACTTCAAGGTATTCATGAAAAGCAGCCCCATTTAAAACCACATTGCATTGACCGAGGTGCCTCAGTGATCTGCTGAATGAAATAGAAACAGATGGTACAGAAAAAAATTAATAACAGCTCTGTCTGTTCACTGGAACCAGACATGGCACCTGATCTCTTCATTAATTTATCCCAGAAGCTAGGGGGTCTAAAAAGGGACGCAACACCCCGTCTCTATTGCCAGGGCACTGCCAGTGGACCATGCAGACCTGTACATAACTCATAAGCAGCACTGTGTGGTTGTCACTGTGACAGTTGAGGTATGAACGCAATGTTTTGAGAGCAAAGAGGCAGGTGCAGTTTCAACCTGTGTGTTTAATGTCCTCTTGTTGCCTTCCCTCCCATTAGAAAGCACTGTTTAAAATGGGAATATGAGATGCACCTTGAGAAATACAAAGAATGGAGAGATCAGGAATGACTGCCAGCAGCCGGTGGGCATTGATGATGGTAGAGGGGACGTCAACCGGAGAAGTACTCTGGAGAAGGGGGTACTGTAAGCCCCCAGCATAGAAGAGAGAAGAAAAGGTGTTCTGGGAACACATCGCCTGCCACATAAGGTTTGGGTATCGCTAGATGGTTGAAGGTCTGGACGACCTTGACGGCTGTTCGTAACAAGCTAAGGCATCGTGTGTAAGTCTCCAAGAGAAGCATTGTATTACATATGCATGACTGCTGCAACACATTACTTGGCAGCTTGAAACAAGATAAATTGAGAATCACCACTCTCTCCATCAGACATCTGACGTGAGCTCCCTACGCTGAAACCAGGGTGCCTGCATTCCTCTCTGCAGTGTTCAGGGGGAAGTTCCCCGGCTTTCCCTGGCCTTGCCACCAGCTGTGTGCCTTGGCCCATGGCCTCTTCTTCTGTCTCAGCGCCAGCAAGTCCTTCTCTGTCCCATCACTCTCACCTCTTCTCCTGCCTTTCTCTTCTATGTTAAGGGCCCACGCCTATGCTTTGTGATAATCTCCCCATTTCAAAGTCTGTAACTTTGTACATCTGCAGAGTCCTTTAGGCTGTTTAAGACGATCACCAGTTCCTTGGAATTGGGACAGGGATAACTTTGGGGTGCTGTTTTCTGCATTCTATGGGCATTAAGGTTTTCAAGCAAGACAGTGACACTTTTGGGGATCTGTCTGAGGAGTGCTATAGTGACACTTTGAAGACTTTTGACAATGGGACAGATGCAAATGACAGAGGTGGGGTAGACTCCCTAGGAACTGGCAGATGACTGAGTGGAGAGTGAGGGGCAGAGCAGGGGTGGAGTTGTCACTTGATTCAGGCTTGAATATCCATAAATGTGGAATTAATAGTGTCATTTAATAGAAGTATTTAGTGCAGGAAAGTGGAGATGTGACAAATTTCAGTTTGACCCTACAGCTTCTCTACTTTTAAATCCTGAGTAGGAAATACAAGACAAATATAGATTCAAGATATACAAGGAAGAGCAGGTGAGTTAAAGCCCCAGCCTGCAGTGCCGGCATCCCATATGGGCACCAGTTCAAGTCCTGGCTGCTCTACATCCAATCCAGCTCTCTGCTATGGCCTGGTAAAGCACTAGAAGATGGCCCAAGTGCTTAGGCCACTGCACCTGCGTGGGAGACCCGGAATAAGCTCCTGGCTCCTGGCTTCGGATTGACCCAGCTCTGGCCTTTGCAGCCACTTGGGGAGTGAACCAGTGGATGGAAGATCAATCTCTCTCTCTGTCTCTCTGTAACTCTGCCTGTCAAATAAATAAATAAATCTTTGGGGGGTGGGGGGAAGAAGATTTACAAGGGCTGGCACTGTGGTGCAGCGGGTTAATGCCCTGGCCTGAAGCACTGGCATCCCATATGGGTGCCGGTTCGAGTCCCCACTGCTCCTCTTCCAATCCAGCTCTCTGCTGTGGCCTGTAAAAGCAGTGGAGGATGGCCCAAGTCATTGGGCCCCTGAACCCGCATGAGAGACCTGGAAGAAGCTCCTGGCTCCCTGGCTTCGGATCAGCACAGCTCCAGCCATTCCGGTCAACTGGGAGTGAACCATCGGATGGAAGACCTCTCTCTCTCTTTCTCTCTGCCTTTGTAACTCTGCCTTTCAAATAAATAAATAAATCTTTAAAAAGAGAGAGAGAGAGAGAGAGAGAGAGAGAGAGACTTACAAGGAGAGAAGTAATAGGCGGGAATGGTTGAGTGAGAGGTGCCGAGAAGGATGACAAGGAAGAATCACGAAGGACAGGAACAGACTGAGAAGGAAGACAGGGAAAGAAGGTGGAATTAGGAGAGTGAGAGCAGAAATGCAGACATGAGGAAGACAGACAGAGCCTGGAGTGAGAGAAACTGGGAGGGGACCAGCTCTGAGGTTTCTGGCATGAGCGGATCGGTCCATTTGACTTTCTGGGTCACTAGAGTGGAGCTCCCAGTTGTAAGTTGGAACTTTAAGGTGTTCGGAGGTTACTCACTGTCCACAGCGTCTCTGTCTTACCCAGCGTTCTTGCAGCTTCTGTGGTCCTGGAGCAGTGAATTATTCACCCGGGACGCCCTCCGGCCCCCTCCCTGGTCTGAGTGAAGAAGGCAGGCTCTGCCCTTTCCAAACCTACTCTCACTCTCTGTTTTATCTTTAGAATTTGAGGCCTTTGTCATTGTGTCACAGCTCCTCCCCAGTGTGCAGGGCAGGGCTCTCAGATCTCTATCTAATTTGCTCCTAGCTTAGGAGCACTGAGGCTCAATTCCAGTCTAGCCTGGGAGCCCCAGGTCACAGGTGGTCAAAGCTGGGAGAACAGGCAGACTCCTGCCCAGAGAAGCAAAAGGCGGCCTGACAAATGTGGGCAAGATCTCTTAGCAGGACTTGGGGCAACGGTGCCGCACGTAGCCACGGTACTAGGAAACTGACTTTGAACCCCGCTCCCAAATTAGCCCTGCCCTAGCAGAATCAGAGGCAGGAGAAGGAAGTAAGGTCTACAAGTGTAAGATTTCCCTTGGCTCAGCCACCACAAGTGCTCACGTTTTCACTGTCTGAACAGGAGTGGGCGCTCAGAGAGGTTAATCAACTTGCCCAAGGTCAAACAGGTGGCCGCGGTGAGCCCAGGTTTGCTCTGGCCTCCATCGGATGGACAGCGCTCTGGCTGGGGAAGGTGCATGCTGGCCAGAGTGGATGGGGTGAGCCTCCGGCCCGCCTCTGCGCCCACTCCCTGAGCTCCGGACTGCCTGGGCTGCGCCTGGGTCGTTCTCGGTGCTCTGCGGGGGCGGCAGCGGACTGGGCTGTGCGGACAGCCCGGGCTGGGGGCTGTTGAGCCCGCGGGGCCGCGCTCACCCAGGGAAGAGGACGATGCGTTGGGCGCTCAGGTGAGCCAGGGCTGGGGTCCCGCACCCGCAGCCCAGTCCCGCGCCTCGTGCCCCGCAACGCGGGGGCTGGAGCCGGCACCCGAGGGGGCGGCGGGGAGGGCGCAGGCAGCGGCTGGGAGCGCAGCGGCAGCGGCGGCGGCAGAAGCTCGGCTCCGCGGCTTGGGGTGGCCTCTCCAATCTGCCAGGTCGCCTCGCTCCCTTCCCTGCCGCAGCCGGTAGGTGCAGCAAGTGCGTCCGGGGGTCAGAACCTCAGCAGCGCCACGTGTGCTGGTGGGGGTCCAGGGAGGGGGAGCGGGGCAGCACGATGAGCTGGGGGCTGGGGGCTCTGGTCTCCGGAGCCCTGGCTTTGCCGCAGGGCTGGGCGGCGTGGCGGCTGAGGGTGTAGGTAGGTGGGCTGGCTGGCTATGTGGGACGCGTCGTCTCCAGCGGGAGACTCCTGTAGATTTGGGGCTGGTGCCTTGCACTCGTGTCTGTAAGTACTTGTGACACTGCATGTGTGTCACTGCCTATACGAGATTGTGTGTGTCAAGGGCGTGTGTCAGAGCCAGCCAGACTGTGCATCGGCTTGTGTGTGTATGTGTGTTCTCTATGGGTGATCCTGAATGTGTAACCGAGCGAAGAGTGTGCTCGTGCGGGTGACAAGATATGTGTGTCTGGAGTGTGGTGCCTGCTGCGTGTGTGAGTGGCTGTGAGCGTGTGGGTACGCTATGCTGCATGAAGCTTTCACAGCCCCTTGCCAGCACTAGCCACGTCCTGCCCTTGCCTGTCCCAGAGTCCCTGTCCCAATTTAAGATGTATTTCCTCTCGGCTTGCTACCCTGTGTGTGGCACTATTCTGTTCGCTGCCTTGAGAAGTGGCTGTTGATACAGAGATTACTGGCTGGCAGAAGTGGAGTCAGGGCCGTGAGCTTCTCTTCCTAGAGTTCAATGCTGGAAAAATCTTGATTTCCAGACTGGTTCAGTACATAGAACAAAAACTATTTCCTAGGGTACACAGGAGGCTGATGTGAGCCGGGTTTCCTGCCCCCCTGCTTCTGGTGTGGATCCGCTGGGTGGGAGAGCTGTGGGTGACCCTGAGGGGCACTGGTTGCGGTTGCCTGGTCCCGGGGTGGAACTTCAGCATCGGTGACTGGGCAAGGCAGGCAGTGAAGGAGAGGGACACGAGTGCTGGGTGGGGTGTCCTGGGAACAGCGGAGAAGTCAGGTGGGGGAAACGACTGACGGATTCTGAGCAGCTCTTACCTGGGAAAAGATAAATGGGGGCAAAACAGTGAAAGGTAAAAAGGTTTTGTGGCATTCTGCAGTCATTTTTAATCCTGCATTTATTTTCCTCACGCATTTCCCCCCCAAAATCTCTCTTACGTTTACATCGTTATCCCTACTGTGGGAAATACCTTTGTTATAATTGTTACACATATAGTATGAGGACCGTGGTCAGCTAAATTCTGGGAGAACTGTAGCGCGTTGCAGCTGGCAAGAGCTTGGGGAGTGTTTAGTCCAGTCCTTGCTGAGCAGAAGGAGGTTCCGGGACCTGGTGGACAAGGGAGTCTCTCTCTGGTTTCTCTGAGTTACTTGGATTTCACTCCTACTGCTGCTCCTTCTTGGGGCCACAGTGGCCTTGTACTCAACACATCGGGCGTCTTTTCTTCTACCCTCAATCTTTTAAACCTCCCTGATTCTGTTCACGCCCTCATTTTCTTCCTCAACTGGATGGAGAGAGAAGCAGTACCTGAAATCTGACATAAGCAACCTGCTAGTCCAAATGCCATCTGCTACCAGATACCGTCATCCTCCTGGTCACCCACACTGAGCACTGAGGCTGATTTTTTTAATTCTCCTCTGTCTTCAACACTAGTGGCCACCACTTAATCTGAAGACAGTTTTATTTGCTTTTTCCTATTTTTTCACTACCTGTTGAATCTGGTTTTTTTTTTTTTAAAGATTTATTTATTTATTTGAAAGGCAGAGTTAGAGATGCAGAGAGAGAGAGAGAGAGATCTTACATCTGTTGGTTCACTCCCCAAATGGCCTCAATGGCCAGAGCTGAGCTGATCTGAAGCCAGGAGCCAGGATCTTGTTCCAGGTCTCCCACGTGGGTGCAGGGCCCCAAGGACTTGGACTCTCTTCCACTGCTTTCCCAGGCACATTAGCAGGGAGCTAGATGGGAAGTGGAGTAGCTGGGACTCCAACAGGCACCCTTATGGGATGCCAGCACTGCAGGCGGCAGCTGCACCTGCCGTACCACAGCACTGGCCCAGAATCTGTTTTTTGTTTTTTGTTTTTTTTTTTTTCTTTTTCCCACTGCTGTCACTTTATCAAACAAGATGCAAATTTGGGAATGTCAAGAGATAGGGACACATATAGACTGCACTGACTGAAAGAGAACCAAGCACATTCGTGAGGCGCAGTCCCTTGGTGTGATCACTGACTGATTAGGAAGCTAAGTAAGTCCTTTCGGAAGGATTTGACCCCACCTTTGGATGGTTGTAACATGTGTGGCCTAGATCAAGCCTCTTTGCCTCTCTCGGGTTCTTCACCTGTGAGAAGTGAGAAACAGTTATAACTAGAATCTAGTTACTAGATCATTTTCAAGGATTCTCCCAGTGCTAAATTTCCCTGATTGCAATTGATCTTCTTCGTTTTAGCATGAAATATTTTTCCCCATTACCTATGGTTGCCTTTTGTTATCTAACCGTCTTTTAAAGTTTTTTAATTTGTCTTTCATAAAAAGAATTAGGGAAAAGGGGAGAAGGCTGAAGCACACTACTGAGGTAAAGTTGAGGTTGAGGATCCACTGCAGACATCAGGCCTCAGTGTTGGAGGAGTTTTAGGGGTCACTCCATCTCCCCCTCCTTTCAAGTGCCGGAATCTTCCATACACTGTTCTTTTGAAAATTGAAAAATGTGTCAAATTGTAATAAGATAATTTCACACTGTAAATTGGTATTTTTCTAACATTGGCACCATGAACATTTTAAAGTAGATAATCCTTTGTTGTGGGGGCTGCCTTGTGCATCATAGGGTGTTTAGAGGCATCATGAGCACCCTTGGATGCCGCAGCAACTGCTAGTTCTAACAACTGCGATGTCTCCAGACATTGCTAAATTCCCCCTGGAGAGTCACTGCTGTACTCCAAACATAAATCTTGCAGTCTTGTGCAGAAATGTCTTACAACGAAAATCCTTAATAAACATATGGACTGTTGGATTGCTAGCTGCCTTTCCACTCTCTTCCAACTTGGCCATTTATCCCCCACGGCTTGTCACTGCCTGTTGCTATGCCTGGAAAGGCTCAGGATGGAGCTGAAGACTGAGAAGCAGTTCAGAGGCAGTGTGATCATAATCTTAATAGTGCCCATTAATCCGGCCCGTGATGTGTGCCAGGCGCAGTCCTAAATGCTTTATGGGGGTGATCTCATTTCATCTTCATTAAGAATCCTATCAGAGAACTATTTCTATTACTCTCAATTTAGAAATGAAGTACCTCAAATGTACAGTGGTAAAATAATGTGCCCGTTCTCTCAGCTGGTGAGTGGCACAGCTTGGGTAGGAGTGTGGGTTGTGTGACTCCGCAGTCCATGCCCTGTACCCCCAGACTTCCTGGCCTTTCATGAATGGGATCTTGGTGGTACAGAGTGGAAAAGATCATCAATATCCTCTAGCCAAATTGTAGAGCCAAGTATTCCTTGAGGAGAGGGGCTGAAGACTATGGCATTGTGAGTTGTGTTCAGTTGACATAATGAGACTTCTTTTTTTTTTTTTTTTAAATGTCTTCTCACCCTATTTGTTACTCATAAAAAACCTGAAGGCATGCGTAGAGTGAGAGAGGCGGTGGTGAGATTGGAAGATGGAAGGGAGGGATGCACAGGGCAAAGAGAAGAGGATGCAGAGATGCAATGCATGAAACATTTGTTCCGTTAATTCCCTTCCCCATCAACCTAGTTTTAGATATCTCTACTGTCATCAAAATTAAAGATGTCATTTTTTTAAAGATTTATTTTATTTATTTGAAAGAGTTACAAAGAGAGAGGTAGAGACAGAGAGAGAGAGAGAGAGAGAGAGAGAGAGAGAGATCATCCACCCACTGGTTCACTCGTCAAATGGCCGCAATGGCCAGAGCTGAGCCGATCCAAAGCCAGAAGCCTGGAGCTTCCTCTGGGGCTCCTGAAGATTGCAGGGGCCCAAGGACCTTGGTCATCCTCTGCTGGTTTCCCAGGTGCATTAGCAGAGAGCTGAATCAAAAGTGGAGCAGCCAGAACTCAAACCGGTTCCCATATGGGATGCTGGCGCCGCAGGCTGGGGCTTTAACCCACTGTGCCATAGTGTCAGCCCCAGATGTCATGTTTTTATCAACTCCTTATTCTTCTTGGTCTGCCCTTTGATTATTTCATTCTGTTGAATGTTATTTTTTTTACTCGTGATGCATTAAAGTGATCCTATTTGGACAGAGGGAAATATAAGGACAAGGTAAATGGCGAGCACACGGGCACACTAATGAGGCTAGCCTTAAACACATGTAAGTCGGAGCAAGAAAGTCTACTGCAGCAGCTAATAATAAGCTTGAAGATCCAAGGAAAGTCTGAGAAGATTGGCTATTTTATTTAAGACTTTTTGCCAACAAATCCACAGGTTTGCTAGCTGCCAGTGAATAAATGGATAGAGTTGGGCTTTGCAAGCCTCGTTTTTTGTTTTTAATTTTTTTTTTTAATTTTTTTTGGCTAAGACAGTGGTTCCCAAATTTGGCTGAGCCACACTATAATCTATAGGGCATGTTAAGACACAGATTGTTGATCCCTCTTCTCAGAATTCCTGACTCAGTGCCTCTGGGTTGGGGACTGAGAATTTGCATTTCTAAGTCACCATGTGATGCTGATGCTACTGGCGTAGGGGCCACTCTTTCAGAACTGCTGGCTTAGGATTTCTACAGCTGAAATGCAGCGCAAACTCAGCCACCTGATATTTTTAATGAAAATATTTCTAAGATAACTAAACATTTGGATTAAT